GGATTGCAGGTGTGCTCCACCAGGATTGTAGGTGTGCTCCACCAGGATTGTGGGTGTGCTCCACCAGGATTGTAGGTGTGCTCCACCAGCCTGTATGGCATTCCTTGCTGCTGCCCCCACAGCTACCCCTTCCTTCCTCCTCCTCCATCTCCTCCACCTCCCTCTTCTTCTTTCCTTCTCTTCTCTGCTATGATGTGACTATTTTTATTTTCTTTTGTGGAAGGTAGGAAGTGGAGTTAATTTAATTTACTTGGAGTTAATATTTACTATATTAATGAGGGTTCTCTAGGGGACAGAACTTCTATCTATCTATCTATCTATCTATCTATCTATCTATCTATCTATCTATCTATCTATCTATCATCTGTCTGTCTGTCTATCTAAAGGGGATTTATTAAAATGGCTTACAGGATGTGGTCCAACTAGTCCAGCAGTGGCTGCCTACCAAGGAAGGTCCAATAATCCCATGGTTGTTTAGTCCTCTTCTTCCATGTCCTCTGTATATGCTGCCAGCAGAAGCCCAGATTAAACGTGGATCTTCTACCTCAGAAGGTCAGGATTAAAGGTGGGTCTTCCCACTTCAACTGATTAATTGAAAAAACAATGTCTAACAAATATACCCAGCCTTGGGTTATAGATAATTCCAGATGTTCTCAGGTGGGCAACCAAGAATAGCCACCCCAAATCTACCTCATTCCAACTTGACACACAGTAATGTCTCCTATTGCCATCCTTAATTTCCAAATGAAAAGAATAACTAGGTCATACTTACACTTAACATGCTATACCTGTCCCTTGTACAATAGCAAATGCATTGTATGTGTAATTGGGTCATAGTTACTGCTAACATGATGTAACTATCCCTTGTATAAGAGCAAATGCATTATAAATTTTCAAATAGGTGGCAATCCCCCTGGAGGCTCATTCTTTTAGTATTTCAAACTTAATCATGACAATCACTGATATCCTCTTAAATGATGTTACATTTAAACACATCCTTAACAAAATACCACAGACACGCCTACCAATTATAATCCTGCAACTTTTCGCATGGCTTTAGCTGATATTTGTAACTACCTTCCTCTCTACCCATTCTATATTTCCTCCACTCAGCAAGCACCTCAGCACATCTTGGCTCTTTTCCTGGGGGAGTGACCCACACCTATATTCCTGAAGGGTATGTGCCCTTTGGTATTCTGTCTGGTTAGGTTGTTACAGTTTCCATGGCTTTAATCACTAGACATAGGCGCATCAAGAGATGCCCTGAAGGATCTCCTCCACACCAGACAGTCTTTCTCACCTCCAGAGGCTCAATCCAGGTTCCTTTTGATAATCGGACTCTGTGACTGTCTCAGTCACTGTTGTATTCCTGTGAAGAGACGCCATGACCACAGTAGCTCCTATAAAAGAAAGCATTAATTGTGACTTGCTTATAGTTTCTGAGGTTTAGTCCATTGTCATCATGACAGGGAGCATGGTGGCACTCTGGCAGACATGGTGCTGGAGAAACAGCTAGGAGTTCTGTCTGGATCCCCAGGCAGCAGCGAGAGAGAGACTCTGGGCCTGGCCTGGGCTCTTGAGACTGCAAAGCCCGCCCCCAGTGACGCACTTCCTCCAAGATCACACCTGCAACCCTTTCAAGAGGCACCACTCTCTGGTGAGCAAGCATTGCAGTGTATGAGCCCATGGGAGCCATTGCCACCCAAACCACCAGCCACCCTCCTCACAGTGTTAGTCCTTTCTTAGCCTGTTATCTTAAGGGCATCAGAAACTCAGCCTGGCCTGGGCGAAGTCTGAGCTTCCAGGTCAATGGAATGTTTGTTGTGTCTCCTGGTGGGGAGTTCAGCTGTGTCTGAAACCAAAACTTGTAAGCCAGCAAAACTTAAGGTCATGGGAAAGGAAGCAAAGGATTTTCCTAGTGGTTCACTAGGTGTGGTAGTGACACCATTCCCTTTTCCAGCCCTTGATTTCTAGACCTGTGGATCTTGATTATGGGAGAAACTACCATAAACCACCTTTTGGTGAATCCTATCCCAGCTCTCCGGGCTGCTGCCACCCAATTGGCCCTGTAAATGTGTCTTCAAAGGCCATCCCATCTTTCTGTCAGGCCAGCTGCTTCAGGATGGTGGGGAATGTGTAAGACCAGTGGAGTCCATGATCACGGGACACTGTCTCACTTCTCTGATTGTAAAGTGAGTTCCTTGGTCAGAAGCAGTTCGGTGAGTAATACCATGTCAGTGGATCAGGCAATCTGTAAGTCCATCGATGGTAGTTTTGGCTGAAACATTAGATGCAGGAAAGGTAAATCCATAACCAGAACAAGTATCTCCTCCAGTAAGGACAAAGCATTGTCCTTTCCACAGAGGTAGTGACCCAGTGTAGGTCCCTGGGTGCTCACCTAGGGAATGGCTCTCTGGCTCCCTGGGGCTGTGTTAGTTTCTGCTGTTGGCAGATCTGGCACTCAGCGGGATCTGTAACCAGGTCAGCCTTGGTGAGTGGAAGTCCATGTTGTTGAGCTTAACCCTCATCTGTACCACCACAGCCAGTTTGTTCATGGGCCCGCTGGGCAATGGCAGAGATGTCTGAGGAGAGCCTTACTGTCCACACAGTGTCTTCCTGTATACTTGATTGCTGCACTCTTCCTCTGTGGAAGTCACCTTTCCATGAGTATTTACGTGGGACACAAGTATCTTCACGTCTTTCGTCCAGTTAGAGGAATCTGTCCACATATCCCTTTCCCAGATGTCTTTTTCTCCAATTTTTCAATGATGCCTTTTCTAAGTCTCTGACCATCTAGCCAGTCCATTGGCTGCCACCCACGTATCAGTGAACAGTTGCAGATCTGGATATTTCTCCTTCCAAACAAAATGTATGACAATGTGCACAGCTTAAGTTCTGCCTACTGTGAAGATTTCCTTTCACCATTGTCTTTCAGGGTTGTCCCACAAAGGGGTTGTAATGCTGCTGCTGTGCACTTCTGGGTGGTACCTGGATAATGTACAGAACCATCAGTAAACCAGACCCCAGTCTTCTCTTCCTCAGTCAGGTGATTATAGGGCTATAGGTACATGCGTGGTGCAGATGACATTGTAATGAGAGTAGAAACCAGAGGCATCTGGACAGCTTCTTCGTGTAAGTTGCTTGTGCCTTTAGGCCCAGCTTGAGCCTGGTCATGTATATACCACTTCTGTGTTAATGGTTGCTGCTATGCATGCCCTACTTTATGGCTGGATGGGATAGATATTACTCAGCTCATGATGGACTGCTCAGGTGTCATGGTAACTTGTCAAATGTCCAGTTTCCTTCAAGGTCCAATAGCAGGCCAAGAACTGACCTTCAAAAGGAAAATAATTGTCTGCAGATGATGGTAGACCCTTGCTCAAAACCCCAAAGGTCTCTTCTGCGATTCACCAGTAGGGGTCTACCAAAGGCTTCAAGCAGCACTGCCACTTCAAGTACCATTGGGTCTGCTGGATGACATGGTCCAAATGGTAGAGCAGGCTGCATGGATGCCTGGCCCCGTTGAAGAGCCTCCCTCTATTCCAGGCCCCACACAAAGCTAGCAGCTTACTGAGTCACTTGGCATATGACCAGAGTAACACCCACAAGTGAAGAATGTGCTGTTCCCAGAACACAGATGGGCCCACTAAATGTTGTGATTATTTTTGGTGGTGTGAGGGCCCAGGTGCAATAACTTATCCTTCATTTTAGAAGGATCTCTGCATGGCCCACATCATTGGACTCCTAAGAATTTCCCGGAAGTGATGCACAAATGTGTTACCAATGAGTTCACAGTGGTTGTTACCTTCTGCTCACTTAGTTCAATCGACATAATGTCATGCAAAAGAGTTAATATATCCTTGAGGTAAAACTGTAAAGGTATGCTGTTGGTCTTGCCAACTGAAAGCAGATTTCTTCTGGTGGTCTTTGTGGACAGGTACCAAGAAATAGGCATTTGCTCTATTAGTAGCTGCATACCACATCTGAGGAGATGTGTTAACCTGCTCAGGGAAGGACACCACATCTGGTACAGCAGCTGCATTTGGAGCCACAACTTGATTGAGTTTTCAGTAGTCAGTTGTCATTCGCCATAACCCATCTGTCTTCTGCACTGGCCAGATAGAGTTACAGGGAGATGTGGTGGGAACCACCACCCCTACATCTCTCGGGTCCTTGATGGTGGCATTGATTCTGCAGTTCCTCCAGAGAGTCGATACTTTTTTGATGTACTATTTTCCTTGCAGAGGCAACTCTTAAGTCTTCCATTTAGCCTTTACTTCACGGGTCAAGGATCCAATGTGAGAATTCTGCTAACTTCCCAGTGTATCTATCCCAATTATACATTCTGGGACTGGGCATGTAACCAAAGGTGAGTTCGGGGACCAGTGGACCTCTTGTGAGTCAAACTTCTGCTAAAACTCCACTCATCACCTGACTTCCATACACCCCTACTTTAACTGGAGAGCCACAGTGTTTCTTGGGGTCTCCTGGAGTCTGCATCAATCTGGAGTCAGTATCCAGTAGAACCTGGAAAGTCTGTTTTCACTAGATGACAGCGCACATCGACTGCACTGACTCAGTCTCCTCCTCTTTCAAACATCTCATGGTTTGAATTCTTTCTACTTTCTGACAACATGGCTTAGAGCACCGTTCCCTCCTGCCGTGAGCAGTGTTCCAGTCATTTCTCTTTACTGCCATCATTCTTACCCTTCTGATGTAGTATGCAGGTCAGATCAGTTCACAGTCCGTTCTCCGTCCATAATTCAAATGTTTCAGAACGCGTGGTCACGCTGAACTGCTTAGACCTGCTCAGATCCCATTACTGGCCATACCCATTTTACAGTGCTTCTGTGAGGTCTTTGCTGTGTTCATGCTGCATTTCTTTCAGTTTCTTGGAGATGCTTCATCCAGCGCGAAGCTTTAGGCTGTGCCTTTTCTCTTGCTATTCTTCTTTGTGCATTGTTTTTACTTCTTATCACCTCTGTGTGTCTGCAGGTCTGCTGAGCTCACTTGATCAAGGTTAAACTCAAGACCAGCTTCTTTCCAGGCTGCAGCCCAGCCCTGCCTATGGGAACACTAGGGCTCGCATCCGAGTCTGTCCCTGTGTCTGGTTCGCAGACTAAGGTTCTGTTTGGTTTCAGAAATGATATGTTGACAGCAGATTGTAAGGCAATACGCAACATTAAAAATTCCATTCAAGCTTAGTTGGTCAAAGCAAATCACACTGCCCAGCATAATAGAGAGTGAACATTTCTACTTCAAGGAGTACAGGAGTACTTGCTGAAAATTAATACAGTTTATCACACTTGCTATCACAAAATTTTATTAAAAATTTAACAAAGAATTGTTTTACTATCCTTTGAGCCAGAATTACAAAGTTTCTGGTCTACTTTTATTGCTTTTGTTCTCATTGTGGAAATAAAATTATAAAAAACTCTTATCAAATTAAAATCATATGAATACTTTTCCTTCTGTGTTTTAATAGCCATGTTTGATTATAATAGTAACTATTGTCAAAATAGACATGTTCTAGTGTTTTAGAATGCATTGTTTATTATGGAAAATAATTCATTGAATATTTTCAAAGTACAAATTTCCTTTCCCTTTAGGTTATCATATAATAGATTATTCTTTCCTCCTATGTGTCATTGTTTTATTGGTAAATCAACTCATGTTTCTTGTGCTTTCTGTTTTCAATAACAGTTGTAGTATTTAGGTCTTTGGAGTCTCAAAAGGATAGGAGAAAGAATTTTTAGTAGAAAATGTGAAGAAATAATTTGCCAAATACATGAGCTCTGTGTATTCAGTACATATAATGAATCACTGATTAACATCCTCAGAGTCACCATAATTACGTTTTTTTTTTGTTGTTGTTGTTAGTTTATTTTTGTTTGTTTTTTGAAATAGGGTTTCTTTATGTAGCCTTGGCTACCCAGGAACTCAGTCTGTAGACCAGGCCATCTTCAAACTCATTCATCTCTGCCTGCTTCTTCCTCCCCAGTGCTGGGATTAAAGGTTTGCACTGCTGCCGCCTGGCCCCATAATTAAATTCTCAAAAATAAAATAAAAAATATAATCATAAAAGCAATGGAAAAAAACCAATGCATTGTCCATAAAAGAATATCAATGAATTACTGTGGGTTTCATATTGGAACCTTGGAGACTAGAAGGAAGTGGCACATTTTTGGTAAATAAGTCACTCCAAATTCTGTGTTCAACAAAATTGTCCTTCAAGAATGTGGGGAACTAAAGGTATTCTCAGAGGAGCATAATAACATTGCTTAAATAGAGTGTGGATGAATAAGTGGCCCAATCGTAGAAAACAAAAAAACCCCTTCACAATTCATCAATGTACATGACAAAGAGGACTCTAACAAAATCTAGATCAGTTAGAGACAGA